TGAACTGAGTCCAAAACCAGAAGCTCCCAGGGCTGTCCTGGTGGGTCTTGTGATTCGATTGACCATTGGAAAAGTAATATTGGCAGAAAGGAGGTGTTTTCATGTTTATTTATTTATATTTGGTACATCTTTTGAGTCAGGCTTTCACTGAGTTGCTGAGGCTGACTTGTACTTGCCAGCCTTCTGCCTTGGCCTGTGCTGCAGATGAGTATTTTAAATCAGTGAAACACTGGGCATGTGGTGGTGACTGTGATTCGGGGTGGAGGGTGGAGTCACACCATGGACAATCCCAGCACAGTGTTGGATGCGGAATATGGTTATAGAGAGGCAAACTCTTAACTAATTGTGATGACTATATAATGTTAATAGGTATTGAGTAAATCAATAAATCAACAAATAGCCACATAATTTAATTCATCTGACGTAAGGGGGTGACTACCAGAAGAAACAAGGAAGAATGGAAAGCTGCTGTCCCTGGAAATAGGGCTCAGGTCTGTGTGGTGCACAGACTGACTGTTCAGGTGCAGCAGGCCCCCAGCCCACAGCCAATAGACCCACCTCATGTCCCTTTGCCAGGCACCTGCCTGCTCTCTATCTGGCATAATGTGCAAGGAGAAGCACAAGCTAAGAGTGGTTAAGCAAAAAGAAACCAGGATTTCATAATTTGGGAAATTCTCAGCCTGTCTACATGCAAGATACTTAAGTATCCAGTTTAAGGATACTTAAACTAGGAGATGACTGTCAGGAAAGCATGCTTTACAGAGGAAGCCCAGGGTGTTGTTTGACGGTTTGCTATTGCCTTGAAAGGATCAAGAATGGCCAGAGTGCCAGGCTCAGTGGTGCAGGCCAGTAATCCCAGCAGCTCAGGAGGCAGAGGTAGGAGGATCAAAGCCAGCCTCAGTGTCTTAGCAAGGCCCTAAGCAACTCAGTGAGACCCTGTCTCAAAATAAAAAGGGTCAGGGATGTGACTCAGTGGTTAAGCACCTCAGGTTCAATCCCCGGTACCAAGAAGGGTCAGAGCATTTCACACAGTGCTCTTGAAGAGATCAGGAATGTGTCTCATGGAGTCCCTCAGGTATCTAAGCAGAAGCCAGGAACAGAAATGGGATCACCCAGGAAATCTCTGGAGAGGAGCTTCTTGTCCAGGAAACCCACAGGGCTCTCAAGGACGTTCTGCCAGCAAAAGTCCCTTGGCACAGAGTGAGAGAAACAGTGTTGGGGCCACATGGGGGGACAGGAGCTGGCAGGGCAGGCGACTCTGGGCACATCCTCTGAGGCAGGCAGGCTGCCCCCACCCTGTGCTCCTCCCACAGAGCCATCGCGAGACACCAGGGAACCACAGGGGCGGATGACATCGTTACCAGGGGAAACCAAATAAACCTCTAGCTTCACCTAGTCAACCTCGAAGGCCACGCAGCCGGCTCTGCTGGAGGTCACACCTCTGACGTGTGGATGATGACAGCAGCTGTTGCCTAGGTGACTTTTCAGGGACTTGGGCCTGCAGGTGTCTGATGGGTGGCTGAGAGGGATCTCCATCTTCATGTTACATCTGTCCCCTTAACTCTGGGGGGGAGCTTCCCCTAGGTTCTGCACGTGGACATGCTGGCTTCCCCCTGGACCTGGGGCTTTCTTCCAACCCACCGCCTGCCTTTTCACCCTCTGCACGGCCCAAGCATCCTAGGCCCTTTCTCTGTAGCACAAGGCCCTGAGGGAGCCACAAGCCAGGCTTGCATAGGGTGGTGGAACCAGCTATAGGACAACGGCAGTTCCCAGGACAAGCTGAGCACAAGCCCCTGGTGGTCCAAGCCTTGCTCAAGAGACATCTGTGGAATGTCTTTTGGAGCATGCCCCTGGCCAGTGCCAATGACCTGACTCTGCCCTGTCCCAGATCAATGTACAAGCTTCACCTCCCTGTTGGCAGAGCAGCCTGGTCCCCCGTCAGTGCTCCTCCCTTCAGCGGGACCCAAGCGAAGCCTGACCTGTTTGTGCTCTCCTGAGCTGGTTCCTCTTCTGTGTCCTGAGTCAGGCTTTCCCACGTCCAGCATCAAGAGGAAATTAAAGAAGGTTTCCAAGCTTCTCTCCAAACCTCACCGGCAGGACTCGGCTGGTAAGGATAACTCAGAGGACGGTGGTACAGGCCAGGGGCAGAGCCCAGGATCAGCCTGTTCCCAGGCCTTGAGGCCTTCAAGATCTTGGAGTTCTCCAAGCTGCAATTCAAAATTGCCTGGGACCAGTGACTCCTTCTTTCCTTCATCGTCTTCCTTTTTAAACTGGAATGTCTGTGACTGTTACCTTGTGCTGGTCCAGGCACTGCATTAGGAGCAAATGGGTTCTGGAGTTTATGTGTGTGAACTCACTTAAGCCTCATCACGGTCGTGAGTTTCCCAGGATTAGACAGACGAATTGTGGCCCCAGGAAGGCCTACACTCAGTCATCCCTGGGTGGTGCTGTACTTGTACCTAATTTAGGTCATTCTTGTGTGTTGGCAGGGTACCAGGAATTGAACTCGGGCCCTCGACCACTGAGCCACATCCCAGCCCTATTTTGTATTTTATTTAGAAATAAGGTCTTACTGAGTTGCTTAGTATCCTACTGTTGCTGAGGCTGGCTTTGAACTCGAGATCCTCCTGCCTCAGCCTCCCAAGCCATGGGGATTACAGGTGAGTGCCACTACACCCGGCTAGGTCATTTAGATGATTCCATGCAGATGAGATTTTGGACTTCAATTGATGCTGCCATTAGCTAAGACTGGGGACCTTGTGTGAGAAACACACCTGTTAAAGCCTAAAGAAGGGACTGGGAAACAGACAGGTACAGCAAAAAGCAAGGCTTTAATGACAGTTGGTCTTGCAAGATCGGGTGCCCCTGGCAGTCAGGGACCCCCAAGAAATCCACACCACAATCCCTAGAACCTGTTAATCTGGTACCTTAAATGATAAAAGGAACTTTGTAAATATGACTAGGGTCTTGAGATTGGGATTGATCCACTACCTAATTGGATCCAGTGTGATCACAAGGGTCCTTGTAAGAGGGAGGCAGAAGGGTCAGAAGGAGCTGTGCCAACTAAAGCAGAGACATCTGCTGGACTGGGAGATGGAGGAAGAGGCCACAAGCCAAGGCACGCAGGGCCTCTAAAGACTGGCAACGGCAAGGGGTGGATTCTCTTCTAAAACCTGGGAAGGAGGCCTGGCCCTGCTGACACTTGATTTCATCTCAGTGAGACCTATTTCAGACTCCACTCATGTTGTTTTGTGCCCACAGGTTTGTGGTATTTGTTACAGCAGCAACAGGAAACTGATACAGGGTCACACTGAGTTTGGGTGTATTTAGATGCCAAGGTTGACTATGTTCTTTTGGTATGTGTGTGGTGCTGGGGATTGAACCCAGGGCCTTGTGATTGCGAGGCAAGCACCCTACCAACTGAGCTATGTCCCCATCCCCCAGATGCTGAGGTTGAAAACAAAAAAGTAGAGAAGTGGAAAAGATCAGGTAGCAGACCAGGATAGGCAGGTGTGAAGAAGAGCGTCAGGCACAGCAGCCCTTGGAGGAGGGTGTGATACCCTGTCTCCACCCATTCCCCTGCCCTCTGGTGAGGTCAGGTCTCAGGTGGCCAGGCTGCTGTGTCAAGGCCCTAATTGGTCAGGGAGGAACTTTAAACAGGGTCATCTAAGAAGATCCCCCACTTATATCGCACGGTGCCCCCCAAGAAGGCAGACAGGCTCCCGCAGTCTCCCCACCCGCTCTGTTCTGGTTCTCATCTGTAGGGCTGGGCCCCGTGTGTGCAGGTGAGCGCCCTGTGTATGCAAGTGAGCACTCAGTGTGTGCAGTGAGCACCTCGTGTGTGCAGGTGAGCACCTTGTATTGCAGGTGAGCACCCCGTGTGTGCAGTGAGTGCCCCATGGGTGCAGGTGAGCGCCCTGTGTGTGCAGGTGAGCGCCCTGTGTGTGCAGTGAGTGCCTCCTGCACTGAGGGCAAAGCATCACTACCTGTTGATGGGTATCTACAGGCCTCCTTCCTCCCTGGACTGGCTCTAGGCACCTTCTGGATGGGTGCTGTGACTTTCATGCAGCAGGAGGTACCCAGGAGTTTGTTAAGAGCAGGTTCCAGGTCAGGGCAAGACTGGTGACCATTCCAGTGACCGTGATTCTCAGACTCTGAGCACACACTGGAGTCCCCCAGAGGACTTGGTGAAACAGATCCAGTCTCTGTTTTAGGTCTGACTGAAATCTGCATCTCCAGCTAGTTCCCAGACCATTCCCTTGGAAAATCTGTCTGTGGCTGCAGCTTCCCCTCCTCCTTGGGCTTGGGGGCGTGTCCCCACTGCTGGCACTCTGGTTCCTTAGTGTACAGAAACCTCTTCATTTCTCCCAGAACCACTATTCATTCTCCCTTGGGTTTTCCTTGCTTTTCTTTGTCATTAATAAAATGTAAACTTCAGACATTTCTTATCAGGGTTTGAGGCTATCTGTGTAGAAGACATCTCCAGTCTGGGCTCTTTGGAACACTTCCCAAGTGCCAGGGCCCTGGCAGGTTGGTGTGGCTGTCCCCACGTGTCTGCAGGAGAGATGCCACCTCTCTGAGGCCCTCGCCTCAGGTCCGGGGGAGATTTCCTGGCATATCTTCTTGAGGGTGGAGGAGGCACCATTTCCACCTGTGTGTGAAGTTGGCCCCATGCCTGACACCACACATCGCCAAGTACACCATGCCCCTCACGAGGGCACGGTTACTCCTGCAGCCCTGGCATAGACCACTGCCCAAGGGACACCTGTCATGGTGCCTGAATGTCCAGGGAAGGGTGCATTAAACAGGAGAGAAGGAAAGCAGGGTGTCCATAGGATACTGGGAAGGAGGGCACATGCCATGCCCACCAAGGGCCACCATGGCACTGCTGAGGACACCCAGGTGAGAGGTCACCATCCTCTCCACTTCCTTGGGGGCCCCTACTAGCTGCTCAACAGATCCTGGCAAGTGCGCCATTCAGGGAGACAGGGTCGGCCGAGAACATGCTGCACCCCTCTGGGGCCCGTTTTATTTGGAAGCACGTTGTGGGGAGTCTAGGCCTGCTGTGCCTGCAACAGCGCCCGCACCTGGCCAATCTGCCAGTCGACGCTGGCACGTGCGGTGCCACCCAGGGCTGTGTACTGCTCCACACTATGTCCATAGTCCCATACGTGGCTCACGTCGCCTGAGAAAAGGGGGCTGGAGGAAGGCAGGAAATGGGTCAGAGAGTCAAAGTTGCCCTGTGTGGGGTGACCAGGCTCCCTCCTGGGGATAGCAGAGGAAGGCTGTACCTAATGGTCTGCAGCTCCTGCAGGGACAGCTGGTTGAGGGCGACCCCTTTTGTCTCAGCCATGAACACGGCTTTTCCGGAGGCCTCGTGTGCCTGGCGAAATGGCATCTGGGGGGGCAGGGCAGGGGTGGCACTGGTGTGAGCTCCCTCCACTGTGCTCTACCCGGTGTGCCTGTCCCCTCCTGACCTCCCTTGTGCACAGCTCAGGGCAAAGCCCTGTCCCATGCCCTCCGCCTAGCTACCTCACACTCACCCCTTTGCGGACCAGGTAGTAGGCCAGGTCAGTGGCCAGCATGTCCGGACTCAGAGCCTGAGCCATGTTCTCACGGTGAATCTGGGGACGTCAACCAAGCAAGTCGTGAGCCCTGGGGTCCCTGGACACAGGGCCTGCTCCCAAACCCTCTATTTCCCCTACTTGGGCAGACTCTCCTGCCCATTTGATCTGCCCTACTCTCTCCTTGCCCGTCTTCTCATAATTCCTGACACTTTTAGGTGAGCCCCCAGAGCTGCCTTTGGGTTTGCAAGAGCCTTCGCCACAGCATGATTTGCAGGGTTGATTAAAGGATGGGGGTCAGCAGTCTGGAGTGGGGCCTGGGGCCACCTTTCTGTCAGGTTCTCAGCTGACACGGATGCGGCTAGTCCCAGGATGAGGCTCTGAGGACCAGTGCTCAAGACACAAGCGTGACTTGGGAATGCAGTGATGAGGGGGTGGGACTGCTTCAGGATAACTGGGGTAGGTACAGACGCTGAAGCAAGACAGCAGGGTCTACGCTGTGGCTGGGCATGGGTACAAAGCCGCTCTGATGTGTTCTGCAACTGTTGTAACCGAAATCTTCCCTGATAAATGATTTAAGAACCCGCCTGGCCAGAAGAAGGGCCCTGGGCCCTGGACCTGTTTCTCCTCCACTGCAGCAGCTTTTGGCCCTTTGGGATTCCCGAGAAGAGGGCACAGCCCTCGAGTCTTGCAGCCCACCTAGCCTGCTCCAGCCATGCCCAGGCATGCCCACCCCAGATGAGAAGAGCAGATGGGCAGGGGAGGCCAGTCTTGCCTGCAGTGTAGAGATGACGCCAGTGGCCACCTGGAGGACGGCGCTCATGGTGTCTGACACTTCAAACACAGCTTCCTTGTCCTCCTGGGGGGTCCGTAGCAGCAGGTGAGGGCCCCGCAGCTCTGTCCCCACTCCTCCCACTGGGACCACTGAGCACCCCTCACCCCCACACCAAGGAAGAACACAGCCCCAAGGCAGCCACAGGGCTGTGTGTGCAGGGCGAGGAGCAGCAGTCACCCAGTGACCTGCCTGGGTGTGCCTGGCCCTGAGGCCTGGTGTGTGGTGTGGGGGCAGATGGCCCTCACCCCTCCCTGACCTCAGACCTGTAAGTCCTTGTTGTAGGTGCTTGGAAGTCCCTTGAGGGTCATCAGGAGCCCAGCACACTGCAGGAGAGGGAGTCTCAGGAGATGGGACCCGGGTGCCTCTGGACCCGCTGGGTTGGCCCGGAGACCTTGCCCCCCTGCCCTGCTCACCCGCCCAAAAACACGCCCCGCCTTGCTCCGGATCAGCTCCAGGCTGTCTGGGTTTTTCTTCTGGGGCATCAGGCTGCTTCCAGTGCTGGGGACAGAGATGCTGGGACTGAGGGGTTGCCCTGCCCTGGGTGGCCCTGCAGGCCTAGCAGCATGCTGTCCAGATGTTGCTGACAAGGAGGTAAGAGGAAGGAAGCCATGGCAGTGGGACAGGCCGGGTGCCGCCTAGACTCACCTGTAGGCATCTGAGAGCTGCACAAAGCCGAACTCCTTGGTGCCGTAGAGGATGAGGTCCTCGGCCATCCTGCTGAGGTGGGTCGTGCACAGCGAAGCCCAGAACAGGAACTCAGCTTGGAGGGAGACAGCGGGCACTCAGTCAGCAGGCCCTCCTGGTTCCCTACCAGGCCTAGAGCTGAGCCAGGTGGATCCAGGGGTGGAGAACCCGGGAGGACCCAGGCTGGGTCACAAACATGGGGCGCCATGCAAGGACTGGTCCTGCAGATGAGTGGGTGGCACCCAGAACTCACCCACAAAGTCTCGCTCACTGGTGGCATCCATGCTATTGAGAGTGATGGCTCCAAAGTTCAGTTCTGGAGGTGGGGAGGAAATGGGGCTGGGCTGGAGGGCAGGAAGCGTCCTCTTCACCCTGGACCAGGATGCCCAGCCACGACCCCGACTCCCCTCAGGATCAAGGATCAGAGGAGGGGATGGGATCTCTGCAGAGGCCCAGGCAGGAACCCTGAGTGTGCCCAGCACCTGGTCACCTCGGTCACCTCCGAGCCTGCAGGTAATCATGTGGGGGGGTCACCTGGCAGGTGCTGAGAGTGACTCTCCCCAGGGAAGATGGGCAGGGCTCCTCACCTGCTCGGAGCAGCTCCCGGTCCAAACCCAGAGGATTGCCTGCAATGGCCCCACTGTGGGGACAGGGGGTTCACAGTGACCAGGGCTCTTGGCAGGCAGGCCCTGGCACATCTACATGTACCCACCGAACCAAGCCTTAGTTGCCAGGGCCCATCCCTTCCCTGGCCCAGCCCTGGGTGCCAGAACACTTGTCCCCATGCAGGGGAAATGGCAGGTTGCGGTGGCCAGCTGGGCTCTCCAGGAGCTTTCCTGGAAAGCTCAGGCCCTGCTTGGACATGTTCTCTGGCTGAGTCGGCCCCATGTTGGAAGAGCTGGGGGTTGGTGTACAGCCCTCATCCTCTCCTCCTGGCCAGTTGCCTGGCTTCCTGGCTGGCTCTGTGCTTCCTGCTTCTCCTCTTCAAACCCCCAGGGCCATGCTGACTGGCCAGCAGTGCCCACAACCCCTCCAGGCCCACAAGGCGCTGGGCCCCACTCACCTCCCTAGGGGCAGGACATTGACCCGCTTCTTCACCTGCAGCAGCCTCTCGGAGTCTCGGGTCAGCGCCACGGCGTGGCTGTGGGAGGCAGGCTGGGGGGTCAGGGCAGCAGGGCCTCCCCTCCCACACGACCCTCACTTGCTCCTGTGCCACAGCCGCTCACCTCAGGATCCAGTGGCTCCAGCGGATGGGCTGAGCCCTCTGCAGGTGCGTGTACCCTGGGAAGAGGACGTCCCGCTCACTGTGGGGGAGGAGGAGCAGGTGCTAAGAGGCAGGTCAGAGGACACTATAGGCCTAGGCACAAATAGGTCTTCTGGGCAAAGCAGAGGTGCGACTGTGTGGTCCAAGGACTAGGCCAGGGCCATGGTCAGGGACAAGGTCACTCCAGGACCAAGGGTGGATTAGGCCCTTAGCCTGGCTGCTCTGAGCAGGGGCCAGAGCAGGGGAGGCGGCCATGGGGGGTACCACCTTGAGGTGTGAGGCCTGTTTTTAAACAGGAGAGACTCTTTGAAGGACCCCAGAGACAACAGGGCACTTTGAAGAAGTGAGGCAGAGGCACAGGGGCTTCGGGGACGATTCTGATTGGTTGTTTTGTTTAAATGAGTAGCTACACTGAGACAGACTCCACGTGGGATCTGCCCATCATGCAGTTCTGTGTATAACCATCTCTGCAATTGGTTTTAGGATATTTTCATCACTCCATAAAATCTCCTGTGCTCATTAGCACCCACTCCCTGCTCTTCCCAGCAGCAGGGGTGGGGTGGGGTGACGGGGGGCACAGTTCTATGCCCAGGTGGCTGAGGTCTGTGAAACAGCATCATGGAGAGCTGGGGAAGAGGGGGGTTAGCCTGTCTGACCAAGGTCAGTCCCATCACACTGGAACTTCCCAGTAGCCCCTGGCCAGGTCTGCAAGAGGCAAAGCTGGTTCCAAAGGATTCAGGTCAGAGACCCAGGCTTGGGATGAGGCTGGTGGGAGGCATCCTTGGGCTCTGTCCTGTGCCGGCCCTGCTGGGTGGGACATGGGCACCAGCAGGCCGACAAGCCACTCTGACTTCTCGAGGCTCAGCCAGGTGCTGCCTTGGAGGTCTGGCACTTGCCTTCCAACCCTCCGAGGGCCAACCTTCCCTGCCTGCTGAGCAAGGGTGGCCTGGGGTGGGGAAGGCAGCCAGGTGTCCCTCCTGGCCACTCCACCTTGCTTCAGGACTTCCCCACACCCAAAGCCAGCCTCACTAACTGGTCACCATGGCCACCTGGGTCTGGTGCTCAGGCCATCTGCCTCAGGGAGGGGAGATGCTGGCTGCCCTGACAGTCCCCTCTGCCATCTGGGTGTCCCTGGGGGCAGAAGGGGAACTCACGCCTCTGCACGATCCACCATGGTTCTGATGAGCTCCCAGAGGAGGGCACAGAGCTTCGAGCAGGTCTGTCGCATCCACAGCCTGAGGTCTGTGACCACCTGGGGAAGAGGAAGAGGCACTCAGGGAGGAGACTGCTGGCCCCTGAGGGGACCAAGGCACTGCCAGCTGAATGCCACTTGGGCTCCCAGGGAGGAGGAGCTGGTGGCACCTGGTCATTCCGGCTCCGTCCCGTGTGCAGCTTCCCTGCAGTCTCACCGATGAGCTCCTGGGGTGAAGAGAGGCACAGGGTCAGGCACTGCCTGCTCACAGCCCCCAGGGTCAACCCAGGCCTGCAGGGGTCCTTGCAGGACCTGTGGCTCTCCCTCCCTACCCCAGGGCCCCCGGAGTGACCGTGGTTTCGCCATCTCTACCAAGGCCTCCCCTTCAGGGGTCTCAACCACACTCTGCCAACGAGGAAGAACAGAATGACATGAGTGGCTGGGCCAGGTGGAGGGGGGCCATGAGGCGGGGAGAGTCATACCTTCAGGCGGCGCTCATTGGCTGTGTGGATGTCTTCGTCATTCGGGTTTAGCTTGAAGGTGCCCTGGGCCCACTCTTCAGCCACCTGCAGTGGGTGACAGCAACCCAGGCCCCTGTCCTGGCTTCTGCCCTCCCCGATGGCTGTCTTTGCACAGATGTTAAGTCCTAGCACAGGAGTCCTAGCCCTAAGGGTGCTCCTCACACTTATACATCTCTGCCATAGGCCATGGGGCACATGGGGACCACTGAAAGATGAGGAGCAGACATAGCACATGGCCACATAGCAGTTCTCTAATCAGACAATCACTCCACAGGGAAGCCACAGGCTCAGCACACTGTAAGTTGTGCTCGGGAATTGGTGGGAGCCCAGGGTCGCAGGGAAGGGGTCTGGTGCAGCTTGGGACATGGGAGTACCTTGTCCAGGCCATGCAGTATCTGGTCCATCTCGGCCTTGGTGAGCAGCCCTGCCTTCTCCAGGCCTCGGCTGTAGGCCTTGCTGCCCTGTACATCCACCTCCCACAGATGCCGGTCATAGGCGATGGACGAGTTGAACTTCTCCATGATGGGGTCCACTGCACCCACGAACCGGCCACCCCAGAGCTTCCCGCTCTACCAGGACAGCAGGAAAAATCAGTCACCCACCCACCTAAATGATGCCTCTCAAAAAAGGGCCCCCAGGGAACTTGCTGATGGGGTCAGTGATCAGGATTGTTCTCCCTGGACAGACAGGGAAACTGAGATTCAAAGGATGAGGGCCTTGCCCAGAGTTCTCGGGAAGGAGCATGGGAACGTGGCTGGATATGGAAGACAGGAATGTGTCCTACTCATGGTGGCATCCCCAGGACCAACAGAAATCCTGGTCCTTCCTTACCATGGACTAAGGTGAGAAGTCACCTGCTGGAACCTGAGTTTCACCAAAGATAATGACATGTATATAAATATTGGTGAGCATATACTGCTTTCTCTCTGTGTGCCAGGCACCATGCTAATTGCTTGGCATGTGCTTATGGCAACCCTCTGAGGTAGGCACCACTATTGTCCTCTACAGAGGGGAGCCACAGGCACAGAGCCATGCCGCTGGCTCCCACCAATGGCCCGGACTGCAGCCCACGCCTTAGCCCCATGCTCCACCAGGGTCCCTCTCCTGGGCTGTGGTGTCCTGGACCTTGGCTTCCTGCACCTCTCTTCCTCATTGCCTGGGGATTTGGAGACCACTGACCCCTCACCATTGCTGTCTTTCTAGGAGGCGAGGACCCGAGGAGCTGAGGACAGAGACAGGACAAAATCTGTGTTTTGAACGAGGGCATAGGCCAGGGCAAGGGGCAGAGGAGCAGAGGGGCAGAGGGGAGGGGCTGCGGAACACCTGGGAGCAGCCTGAGCGCCAAGTGCCCAGGATCAGGAGGAAACATGCTGGCTACTTCACCTGCATCATGGAGGGGAGGCGTGTCTACAAGGGGCCAGTGAACAAATGTCCTCCTCCGCCCCCTGCAGTGCCCTGCCTCTGTGAACCACTGACCTTGGGAACACTACACACCCTCTCTGACCCTCAGGGCTGCTTCTCTGAAAGCAGGAGTAATAACAGCACCTGATAGTCTTGCTGTGAACACCCAATCAGATATATGTGCCACACACTGGCACAGTATAACACCCGGTGCTAGAGAGGGCTCAGTCAGTGCTCTCATTACTGGGGAGCAGCCAGGGATCCTGGGGCTGCAATGTGCACCACAGGGGCTGGCAATGCTCTGCCCCAGGCTGTGAACTGATCCGACAGTGCCCAGCGGGGCTCTGCCCTGTAGAGGCAGCCTCCACCCCCACCAGCCTTGTGAGCAGGGCTGACCCTTCAGCTGCCCCACTAAGATGATCTTCAGCAAAGCACCCTGTGGGGCCCTGGGCCTGACCACAGGGGACACAGGGCCAGAGCCAGCTAGTCAGAATCCAAGCCAGCCAGGAGCCTGCTGGGGAGGAGGCTCCGCAGACTGGCACCGCCTCCCTTGGCAGGCTTCAGGGCCTCATTGCCTGAGTTGTTAGTAATAACTACAACTGTAACAAGCAGAGCTGCAGCCAAACCAATTAGCACCATCCCACAGGACGGCCTGGGGCAAGCTGAGGCCACCCAGAGGCTGGTCAGAAGGCAGACCACCGTACTTTGGGACTAAGCTCCCATCCCACTGGCAGGCGTTCAAAAGGATAGCAGGAGGAGGTCAGAGTGAGGTGCCTCCAACTGGTCACTGAAGAGAGGGTAGGCCCATCATGGTAGGAGAGGGCACTGCCCCCAGCCAGGAGACAGCTGGTCCAGAATGAACTCTGGGGGCAGAAGGGCAGGGTTGAATGAGCAACAGCCAACTTGCAGTGCACAGGGAACATCATGTCGTCCTGTTAGCCACCATTAATTGAGTACCTATTTTAGTGGCCCTGTAGGAAGGATTCCAAGAGCTATTACACCCTGCTTTGAGGTGGGCACTGTTACCCCTGCTTTACAAGCGCAGAAGGATGTTTAGAGAGCTAAAGTGACTCTGGTACAGAGTTTGGCTCCAAAGTCCAGGCCCTCCACCACAATCCAGACACTAGCAGGGCAGACATTCTTAACCTGTTTATTCTGATGAACTGAGAGAGAGGAAGTGACTCGCCCGCTAATGAGGGTCAGAGGGACTGGAACCCAGACAGCTGCTTCTCAGGCCTCGAGTTCCCTTCATCAGCTTCAAGCTAATAGCCTCGTTTGCTTGAAGGGTTCAAAGCAATGACCTCATGATCCAGTACCTTAGAGATGAAGGCAGGCACCTGTTATTATCCTAATTTGCTAGATAAATCCACTGCAGCCCAAGGCAGGAGCCTGTGCTTTGGACTCCTGCCATTTAGAGGTCAGGAGGAGACACTGTGAGATAGGCGGAGGTCAGGCACCCCTTGAGACCAGGGAGGGCCACAGCGAGGCTCCTACCTACTGGCTCTTCCCACAGGCCAGAAGTGGACAGCAAGGACACTTTCTGGCTGCTACCTTTTCTATATACAGGGACAGCTTCTGTGGCAGGAGAGGGGTACTGTGTAGGGTGGGGACTGGCAAGAGGACATTGGGAAGAAGGAATGAAGAGGTGAGGGAGCTGCATGTGTGGATGGCACCTTTCTGGATGGTAACAACACTGTCAGGTCAGGGCAGGGCCAGCCAACCTCCAGTCGTCGGAGGGCTTTCCACTGGGGTCATCTAGGCACAAGGTGGGGAGTGGGAAGACAGTGATGGGAACACTAGTGAGCACTGGCAAAGGTCTCTGCCGGGCTTTGGCCAATGTGCCCAGTGGTGCTGGCCTCCTGGAAGGTGGCCCACCGCAGGTGTGACAGGAGAGGTTCCTGCGCGCAGGTGGCGGCTGGGGCTGGCAGGCCCGGAGACCGGAACCCCCAAGGTCTCACTCACCTCTGATGCCATGCTGGGCGGTTCCGCGTGCTCCAGGCGCGTGGGTCCTCCGGTCTGGAAGACAAGACCGGACTGGCGACTTCGGCCACAAGGTCCTTGGGGCGGGGCTGCTCAGAGCCCGGCAGCGCTGGGCGGAGCGCAGAACCGGGAGGCGGACGCGGGCAGCCCGGCGCCCCCGCTCGCGCCCGGTCCCCTATCTCCGGTCCCGCCCTGCCGCCGGCGCCGCCCGCCCCGCGTGCCCAACACGCTCACCCCTCTTGGCCGCGCAGTCCCCCTCCTCCGCCAGCAGCGCTTTTCTGGCCCGGATGGCGTCAGCAAAGCCCCGCCCTGTCCCCGCCTCCAGGGGAGGTCTCACCAATCCGGGGCAGCCGAGCGAGGTGGGCGTCGCCCCAGCAGCCCAATCACGTTCACGGGCGTGGCCATCCCGGTGGCGGTGGGCAGGGCCTGCTCTGGGAGCCTTGACCAGCGTCCGAGCTGCGCTGGCAGACGCGCAGGCACGGCCGATCCGGGTGGGGGTCGACAGTGACAACAGGCTGAGGCCCATGTAGGGTGTGACAACAGGCTGGGACCCATGTAGGCCGCACGTGTGAGGTGAAGTGGCATGTTTGCCATGCTTTCAGTCACTCATTCACATTCATTCAGCAAGCACCTCCTGCGCGCCAGAGGTAGACCTGAGAAATGACTCCCATCCCAAAGAGAGTAGAGAGCCCAGAAACCGTGAGGCAGAGCAAGACCAGGGTGGCTGCAGAGTAGTTCATGAAGGAAGCAGGGTTAAGGATCCAGATGAGGAGGGGGTTGGACTTTCTTGCAAATCCATTAGAAACACATCAAAGAGTTTCAAACAACATGCTTGGTTGGAATTTCATTTTGTTCAGATCTCCTGAGCTAAATTGTGGAAATCAAATTTTATGAAAATGTAAGTCACAAGTTGGAGAACGGTCTGTTCTTTGGGGGCGGGGGGTACCAGGATTGAGCCCAGAGGTGCTTTACCACTGAGCCACATCCGCAGCCCTTTTGAAAAATATTTTATTTTGAAGACTGGGGTTGTGGCTCAGAGGTAGAGTGCTCACCTACCATGCGTGAGGCACTGGATTCAATCCTCAACACCACATTAAAAAAATAAATAAATAAAGATATTGTGTCCACCTATAACTAAAAAATAAATATTAAAAAATATTTTATTTTGAAACAAGGTTTCATTAGGTTGCTGAGGCTGGCATTGATTGAACTTGTGATCCTCTTGCCTCAGCCTCCTGATTACAGGTATTACAGGTATGCGCCACTCTGACCGGCTCAATAGCCACATTTTTAATATTAAATCATATGGATCTCCAATAATGCAATGGTGTGCTCCTTTAAAACAAATTTCACCTCAAAGGTATACACAATAGAGTGCAAAAATCCCACTCTTAAAGCAGAGGTAAGTTATTTGTCAAGATCTCTGAGCTTTGCAACTACATGCAAAGCCCTCTTTTAAAATTATGTTTTTGACTTTATTAAAGTTTTCGTTAAAAATAAAAAGAAATACAGGGTTAGGGTTAGGGTTAGACACCTGTCACTTAACAAGGATTGAGAATTTGATTCAATCCTATCCATCATTTCCACTGTGCTATGTGATCAAGACAACCCCAGCAATTCCTGAAAAGTGGACTAACCTCAGTCCCCAGATGCCAGCAGCCCTGCCCTGTAGTCTGTAGGGATCTGGGTCTGATGGTGATCAAAGAAGTCTGCAATAATGAGGCACTTGCTGTTGCTCTCCAGAGCGACCCAAAGCGTCTTCCTTCTAGCATGTTCCCACACTGGCTGCAAGGTCCACTCAGACCCCTTGCCTGGTGGGGCAGCTGATAGACTGTGTTTGTACTGAGTGTTACCTCACACATGGCTGGGACAGTCACCTTTCAGAGCCCTCTCTGGCCTGTATGGACCAGAGGTCAGAGAGGGATATCTCCTAGTGTTTAGAGATGACCTGTTCTTCCTGCTCATCTTTCCTGTGCTGGTAACCGACTAGCCAGTGACAGGCACAGTCCTGCCTTCCTCTAGAGGCAGGAAAACCATCCTTGGGTGTTTGCTCAGGGACATGGCCTTTTCAGGGAGAACTTGGTGACTAAATTCATTCTAAATTCATTGCCAGGAGACCAAGGAAACAATATCAGGAAGGAAATGTGTATCTATAGGAAGGAATGAAGAAGAGGATTGGGCAGGGCACAATGGTGCATGCCTGTAATCCTAGTGGCTTGGGAGGCTGAGGCAGGAGGATCACAAGTTCAAAGCCAGACTCAGCAACAGCGAGGTGCTAAGCAACTCAGTGAGACCCTGTCTCTAAATAAAAAAAATCAAAATAGGTCTAGGGATGTGGCTTAGTGGTTGAGTGCCCCTGAGTCCAATCCTCAGTATAAAAAGAAAGAAAGAAATAGTATTGGTGTCTATGTATAGAAGATGTTTTTCCTTTCTTCTTAATTTTTTTTTTTTTTGGTGTATGTGTGCTACTAAAGGTTGAACCCATGGGTGCTTTACCATTCTGTCACATCTCCAGTCCTTTTTATTTTTTATTTTGAGACAGGGTATTGCTAAGTTGCTGAGGGTCTTGCTTAGTTGCTGAGGCCGGCAACATGTCAATGGAGTCAACTGGGGTGGGTATGTTTGAAAATTTCCAAGTGTTAAAAAATATTCACAATTTCATTTTAAGACACTAATGAACCTGATACACACATACACACACACACCCCTCTATAATGTGTATGTATCAGCTTTTTATTGAGATTTGATACATAATAGAATACAAATGTTTAAAGAACATAAGATCTGACCTGCACACACCTATGAAACCCACCATAATCAGGAGAGTGAATGCACTTTTTTTTTTAATATTTATTTTTTAGTTTTCGGCGGACACAACATCTTTGTTTATATGTGGTGCTGAGGATCGAACCCTGGCCGCACGCGTGCCAGGCGAGCACTTTACCGCTTGAGCCACATCCCCAGCCCGTGAATACTCTCTTCATATCCAAGTGCCCGTGCCCCTTTCAGATCCTTCCTCCTGCCTCTCCCCACCCACCCCCAAGAAAGCACCCGTCTGTTTTCAGTAACTATAGCTTAGTTTGCATTTTCTGTCCAATATCACTTGTGGAAAAGGCTTTTCTCCATCTGTGTTTGCATGTTTAGCACAAATCAGTGACTGCACATGTGTGGATTTATTTCTAAACTTTTTATTCTGTTTTGTTGCAGAATTGGTGCATTTTTATCCAATCCCATGCGGGGTTTTGTGTTGCTTGTGGTACTGGGAATTGAACCAGCACTCTATCAGAGTCACACTCCCAGCCTTTTTTACTTTTATTAATTTTTTTTTTCCTTTTTAGCTTTATTTTGAGACATGGTTTTCACCAAATTGTCCAGGCCAGCCCAGAATTCATATTGCTGATGCCTCAGCCTCCAAAGAAGCTGGTATTACAGTGGACACTGCTGTTTTGAATACTGTGGTATGTCATAATTCTTGAAAGCAGGCAGTGTTAGCTTTTCATCTTTCTTTTTTCAGAGTTGTTTTGACTATTCTAAATCCTTTGCATTTGCAGTGAATGTTAGAACCAGCTTGTCAATTTCTACAAGATGGTATTTCAACTGGGCTTGCCTTGGTTTATCAGTCAATTTGGAGAGAATTGACTTAAGGACATTGAGTCTACGGACACATAAACAAAGTGTATATCTTCTTTTTTTAAAATTCTTCCTTAATTTCTCCGAGCAATGTTTTCTTTCATGTCTGCATTAGTTTCCTAGCCCTGCTCTAAAGAACTTCCACAAACACAAATTTCAATTGATCTGGTTTAAAACAACAGGAATGTATTGTTAGCCATGAAGACCTCGAGGTCTCCGCGTGGCTGGGTGCTTGCTGAAGGCTCTGGGGAGGTGTCCTTCCTGTCTCCTCCTAGCACCTAGTGATACCCAGCATTCCTGGCCTTCTTGGTCCTGTGGCTGCCTTTCTCTGAGCTGCACCTTCACCTTCCCACGGGCTTCTTCCCTGTTCCTTGGCATCTCTGTATCCAAGTCTCCTCCTCCTTTCTCTGCTGAAGGCACCAGTCATGGGGTTTAGGGTCTCCCCTAATCTGGTGTGACCTCACTTTAACTTGATTACACCTGCAATGCCCTATTTCCAACTCAGGTCCTGTCCACAAGTAGTAGAGGTGACACGGTTCAACCCACCACACTGGAGCCTTCATAGATGCCCTTATCAGACCGAGGAAGCTCCTTCTATTCCCAATTCATTGTCATTTTGCATAAGTGGTAAGTTTTGCTTATAGAGATTTTAATTTTTTTTTTTTTGGTGCATTATACTCACACATAGAAGTGGGATTTCCTCATCACATCCCTGTACACGCACACCAGACGTGAATCGTCAGCACAGTCTTAGGTGTGACCGGTGTGTTTTCCATCTCTGTGTTCTTTATTTCTCCATTTCCTTTCCTGCTCTGGATTTCCAGGTTGTCATCACCCTTCTGTCTGAAGGACTCCTTAACATTCCTTGTAGTGTGCACTGAAAGACACTGCACGGCACTACGAATGGAAGGCGCCACATGACACAAATCACCGGAGAGGTTCCGCTTTATTACAAAAGGCTGTGGGCTTATATAGATCTAAGGAGAGGCGGCATGGCTTAGGTAAATGACGGGTCACCTGTTTATTGGTAAGTTCTTCCAGATGTCAGTTCCGGAGCCCAAGAAGTTAGTTCTTATTGGGGCTAAGGTTTCCCGCCAGCGGGATTTGAATATTGGCACCGGCGGGAAAGGGAGAGGCAGGAAGAGAAGCTCCTCAGGCGCCATGTTGGGGTTTTTGGGGTGTGGCTGCCATTATACCTTTTCTCAACATGCACAAGGCATGGCTTCTCCCTGTCCTGCTCACACCTGCCATTTTCTTCCCTTTTTTCCCCCTGAATAGTGCCCACTCTAATGGCTGTGAAGTGATAGCTCACCCGTGTTCTGTTTTGATTCAGTTCTGGGCATCAAACCCAGGGCATCACAAATGCTGGTGATGAATAGGTCTGTGTTTGCAGGTCTAAATTTGTCTTTATTTCTTCTGGTTTTGGAGAAATATGTTGTTCACATGGAGTGTTGCAAATTGACCTTTTTGTCTTTCAGTTCTTGAAAGATGCAGCTCGATTGTCTTCTCATTTGTGTTGCTTCTGACAAGAAATAGACTCTCCTTTTTCTCGTGCCATCGTATTTATTATCATTTTCTCCTTGGGCTGCTCTTATGATTTTTCTCTTTATCGCTGGTTTGGGGCAATTAGATTATGATGTGCCACAGGGTAGTTCTCATTATGTTGCAGGGAA